CGAAATACACAGGTAGACCATACATACACAGGTAGGATTTAATTACCATCCCGACTTCAGACATCAATCATCGACCGCAATGGCAGTCAACGCGTTAACCAATCGAAAAATCGATCCGGTTCTCGTTAATTGCATTCGTTAGAGGTCAATCTCTTTCTTCGTCGATGCTGTAACGAGACATCCTCCTGCTTCGAGGACATGCTCTCGTAAAAGGAATAAAAACATCGAGCGGATTGATCTCGAACTTAAACGGTTCCCTCTTAAATCACGGCCAGCTAACGAGCTGCGTTCGCTTAAGTTCCCCAGCCTCGTTTCCCTGCTCGTGTACGTGCCACGAAACTCACAGGCAGACATTTATTTCGCGATCCCGTATGGCAAGTCTCTGATGACTTTGGGGATCGTGAGCGGAAGCAGCAAGCAAGCTCCGAATCGACGAAAAGTACCGTCAAGTGCATCGATACCTATTTGATTGCACGAAATCACCTATTTCTATCCTTGATTTCGCTTCGATAACCGCGATCGACGTCCGAATTTTGCTTCGATTACAGCGATAATTCCGGTGAAACGCACGAGAGCGTGCGAGTGGACAAACGGTGGGGAAACCAAAGAGGTATACAACCTCGCATATGTAGGATCAGAAGTGGACCTGCGTCTTTTGAGCAGCGTTCACTGAATCGTCGGAATCGACTTTGTTCTAGTTGAGAAATTAACACGTTCCGTGCCAAGTCATTTTTGCCTGACTTGTCGTTCAGGCCATTTGATATTTTGACTAAAAATTAATATAAATTATCACACAATATTTCATTACATCCTCAATACATAAGTAATCCTTGTTTTCTTTTGTTCTATACTGCATCTTGTATAATGCTTCATTTTTTAGGTAGAAATATAGTTTACAGAATTATATTTGTAATAAAATATATGTTTTCAGCGCATTGAATAAATATGACTGCGTGTACCACCGGTGGTACACGTGGCCTGACGATCAAGTTTACCGTGTACCACCGGTGGTACACGTGGCACGGAACGTGTTAAAAGCTGATAAAGATTCCTTTTTTAAGAATTCATATTTTTAATCATTAATTATGTATTTCAAATTAATATTTCATTTAAGCGTAATCAGTGATAAATACGCATATGTATGTATATGGTAAGAGAACATGGTGGGCTTCCTAAGGAAAATGGCCGACGTAGGGGAAAAGAGGTTATCATACGTTGACTTATGAAATTCAGAAAATTTAAAATGTAGTAACTTAGGAAGTTAGTAATATGGAGATTTAGATATTTGATAATTTAGAAATTTGGATATTTGGAAACTTGGAAATTTCAAAATTTGAAAATTTGGAAATTAAAGATATTTTTATTAGGGGATGTGACAATTCAGTATATAGGGATTTAGGGACTCATGGATTTATGAATTTGTAGATTTGGGGATTCCTGGATTTAGGGGTTTGTGAACGTAAGGATTTGTGAATTAAAGGGTTGATGGATTTAGAGATTCGTGGATTTGGGAATTTGTGAGACATTTTTAGTTCCACCATTTTTAGTCCCTACTCCAAGAAAGCTTGCAGTAGCTGCATGTGCATAGGTTTATATTTCGCCTTATTTACGTAAAGCAGTTGGTAATGTTTTCAAATAATGTTACAAATGTATTTATTGTGTTGGCAACATTCAATATGCAATTACCGGCTAAGCAATTGTTATCTACCGTTTGTGTCTTAACATCTTGGGCAACTGGATGAACTGTGGACAAAATGGCGGACGAGCGGTGTATACAAAATGGCGGACAGAAGAAAGTTTAACTTTGACTAGTATCACGCATGTACAAGTACAATATAGCAAACATATCGATTTTAAACTAAAACATTATCATGTTTTGTTTTATAAACTAACACATGTCATGATTATAAAAACACAGAATTTATTATGTAAAAATAAGTTATATGTTTCTTAACACGTGCTAAAATTAATAATTACGTAACAACAAATTTTAGAAGAAAATAAGACACTCGTACAAAATGTCACATCGATCCAAGCGAGAATATAAAAACCTTGGACCCTAAATTATTGTACTATTTCGACCATCATAAAACTCGACTGAAATTAATGTTTCCTGTCTACACACGAGATTGCAAGCTCGCAACTCAGGCAATCTGGCATTGAACTTCAGGTTTCAGATATAACGCGGCACTGTATCAGTTTCTCGTTCGAGATGTCGGTTCCTGTTAAGCCTTACAGATATGATATGTCACCGATTGACCGGGACGGATATTGCGAGAGTTAACCAATGAAACATATCCACCAGGAACGAGGAAGAAGCGTGACATTTTCATGTGTACGCGAATCTTGCTAAATACATCAAAAGTTAGCTGACAAATATCTACCTAGAACAACGAATTTCTCAAAAATAACACTTTTAAGTATACGTTCTTTCAATAAGACGATATGTCAAAGTGCACGTCTTTTAACGTATACGTCACAACCTGCATACGAAAGTAGTTGATATTTCGTGCATTAATAGAAATATAGGTATTTTAAGAAAATTAGAGAAGGAGAAAGAAGGCTAAGGAAATAAAGAAAGTGAAAAAATTAGGAAGTGAAGAAGACGGGTGAAAAATTGTCATAAAATAGGTTCGACACTGTCTACCGTTGTTACGGTAAAGAGGAATATGCGCGACGAATGCGATCTTCAGTCTAAAACCCTGGAACTGTAACTCTGCAAACTCTCAAAAATCCAAAATTCCAAATATTGAAATTCAACAATTCCCAAATCCACAATTTTTGAATTCCCAAATCCCCAATTTCCCAATACCCTAATCCCCAACTCCCCCATTCCCACATTCCCCCATTCCCCCATTCCCCAATTCCCACATTCCCCCATTCCCACATTCCCCAATTCCCACTTTCCCCAATTCCTAAATCCCCAAATTCCTACATTCCCCAATTCCAACTTTCCCCCACTCCCACATTCCCCAATTCTCACTATCCTCAATTCTCACATTCCCCAATTCCCACATTCCCCAATTCCCACATTCCCCAATTCCCACATTCCCCAATTCCCACATTCCCCAATTCCCACATTCCCCAATTCCCACATTCCCCAATTCCCACATTCCCCAATTCCCACATTCCCCAATTCCCACATTCCCCAATTCCCACATTCCCCAATTCCCACATTCCCCAATTCCCACATTCCCCAATTCCCACATTCCCCAATTCCCACATTCCCCAATTCCCACATTCCCCAATTCCCACATTCCCCAATTCCCACATTCCCCAATTCCCACATTCCCCAATTCCCACATTCCCCAATTCCCACATTCCCCAATTCCCACATTCCCCAATTCCCACATTCCCCAATTCCCACATTCCCCAATTCCCACATTCCCCAATTCCCACATTCCCCAATTCCCACATTCCCCAATTCCCACATTCCCCAATTCCCACATTCCCCAATTCCCACATTCCCCAATTCCCACATTCCCCAATTCCCACATTCCCCAATTCCCACATTCCCCAATTCCCACATTCCCCCATTCCCACTTCCCCCAATTCCTAAATCCCCAAATTCCTACATTCCCCAATTCCCACATCCAAATTCCTAAATCCCCAAATCCCCCAATTCTCAATCCCCACATCCCCAAATTCCCCACCTCCCAAAATCCCCAAACATTCCCACATTCCCCAATTCCCACATTCCCCAATTCCAACATTCCCCCATTCCCACATTCCCCAATTCCCACATTCCCCAATTCCCACATTCCCCAATTACCACATTTCTCAATTCCCACATTCCCGAATTCCCACATTCCCCAATTCCCACTCTCCCCAATTCCTAAATCCCCAAATTCTCACATTCCCCAATTCCCACATTCCTCAATTCCCACATTCCTCAATACCTAAATCCTCAAATTCCCACATTCCCCAATTCCAAACCTAAAATTCCCAGTTAAAAACTTGTCATAAAACGAATAGGTCCGACACTTTTTACCGTCGCTATTACGACGAATGCGCGCGACATTAAGAGGTTAACATAACCTAGCCATGAAACGTTTAACGGTACGAGGTCGACGCGGAAATACAGCAAACATAGAACCATCAAATAAAGTGATCGTATAACCGATTATCTTGTCGATAACGGTGACAATCTGTTATATTCTGTCCGTTCCATGGAGTAATTTGCTGTCGAGCAGACATGCAAAACTCTGTGGTAGGGCTCGAACAACCGATAAAGCCCGGCTGAATAACGGCCATTAGCTGTAAGTTAAACAAAACCATCATTTCCGGGACGATCAACCTTAAGCGGACGAAACCCTTCATTTTTCATGTCCCCAGAAAGGCTGAAGAGACCATCAAACTCGCCGAACAATGGATGGATGAATTTCTGATGGCTTCAATAATCGTGCGCCACGGGGATGATTGGTGGAGCCACCAGAGCTCTATATATCGTTCGTTTCGACCGTTAATTATTGTTAGTATCGTTCGTGATTCATCGTACAATACGGGATGTAAAGCATATAGAAAATCTGACTCTCTCGGTTAATTGTGTAGATCGTAATTAACACGTGAAACGCCATGAATTTTTATTCTACAAATTCGAGTGGAAAGGTGAATTTGGTGGAAATAAAATTGGAGGGACTTCTGTTGTCAACATGGCGCTCAGTGGTAATTTTGCTGTCTTTTGACTTAAGGTAGGTACAATTTGTGTACAGTTAAAAACTTCCACTGAAGTATTTAACAATTAGAATCCCTATTCGTTAATTCGGGTATTTTCATGTTTGTGTCATTTTCATTTTGATAGGTTCAGTAGACTGCAATTGTCTGGTAGATAAAACAAGTTAAAATAATAATGTTACTAATGATATGCTAATAATACTGCTTAATAATAATTACTAATAATAATGTTACTTTGTAATAATTACTAATGATAATGTTACTCAATAATAATATCTAATGATAATGTTACTCAATAATAATATCTAATGATAACGTTACTTAATATTAATCATTAACAACAATATTGCTTAATATTAATAATAATGCTACTGATATGATGAAGAATTTAACCTATAAACATAATTATTTTGCTTTCGAAGAAACGAAAGGTTAAAAGTAGATAACGTGAGAGGGTAGAAATCGTTCATAGAAAAAGAGGACAAAATGGTTGTCTCAATTTGTGACGATGGCCTCGTGACGAATAAAAGGGACGGCGCGGCGATCAGGATCTCGCGATCGATCAGCGAAATCTCTGACGAGCTTTTCGTCAGTTAGCATTTTTCATCATCTTTAAAGGATCTCGCATGTACCGAGCAAAAACCTCTTTCTTGAACGTCTCAAAGTGCTTTCTGTTGGCACTATTCTGTCGCTCGCGCCATGCTGGCCTCGTTTTTCTCGTCTGCAGACCCCAATGCCCGGTAAAAACCGGCGAGAGGACCTTGAACTGGTAACCGGCCACGTACATCTCGTAAACCTACGCAGAAAAACAAAAATCGATATTAAAACACTACTATTAAATTATTTAAAAAATTTAGAAACTTAAACAAACTCAACAAAATTCGGGAATTCAAAACATTTGAAAAGTTGGCTAAAATTAAACATTTAAATTTGTGCTCACAAATTTGGCGTTCACGAAAAACGTTCATATCAGGAAAGTAATACGTAAAGATAAAATTTGAAAGAATGAAAATGTCAAAGAGTACAAAGCTTAAGCTCAAATCCACTATCGCCATAAAGCACATCCGTGGCTCTCTGAAATATATCTTTACTAAAGTGCATTTCGAAGCAAAATAGAGGCAATATGTTCCAGTTGTGAATATATCGAGGAATATTCGATAAACGTTTGTATTCATACTGCAATTCAAATTTTTCGTTTACTCAACACCGGATCCGATTACTTTATTCAGTTCGTTGACTGATAATTTTGGAAACGTTTCTCTTCAGTTTTATAACCGAAATGCATATTTAATTTTTCATTAAAAATGCAGAATCATAAAAATACAGAAATACATATTTAACACATTGACTTCATATGTGAGTAGCTGTGCATATGTGAATTGCTCTGCAAGGTCCGTTGAATTAATTTACTTGAAGAGCAAATGTGAAGAGCAACTTTTGTGATCTCTTAATATTGAAACAATGACATGTACTAATACCTTAATGTATGAAATTGAAAAAACAAATACTCCTACTCTTAATAATTTGTATTCTCCCCATGTCTGACCACAAGTCGACAGTGCTATACGAACCGAAAAAATAAACGATATTTTTGAACGATAACGTCGCTGACCACAGTAGAAACATTCGAAAACTTACGAGAAGCTAAATGTTTCGACGTGGAAGATTCGCGAGTGGAACGTTCCGATAACAAGCAGGAATCCGCGTTCGATTCGATCCGAGGTAACTGCAACCAAGCGAGACGAGATTGTGAACGGCAAACGACTGAACCAGATTCTTTACGACCCAGCCTCGGGATTCGATACCTCGGTGTTCGAATTTAAAATCCACAGAGATTTGCTTCGATCGTTTCGCAACCACGAAACACCGTAAACGCGCCACTATCTAAGCATATATACGTGTACGCGTGGAAAGGCATGAATAACGAAAAAAACGATTACACCCTCGAAAAGAAATTTAAACGGTTTTCCCATCAATTCTACTTTGATTTTGTACAAAATGACTTTGATACTCTCTTTTTTGTACAAGATTGTAGTTCAATGGCATATAATCGATTATGAAAGGTATGACACGAAGAGGTACATTAAAATAAGTAACAAATAATATTAAAATAAAATAAGTATAAGTACATTGATGTGAAGTTTGTCTCTACGCAACTGGTGCCTCTATGCTGTGTCTATTGCTAAGACAAAATGGCTGCCTCTTCGTTAAAATGGTGGATCAAGCTGCATATTTATTTCGTTAATACATTCAATAGAGTTAATACATGTATACATTTAATTTTCGATTATTTATGCTCAAAAATAATGAAGGATTTGCTGTGAAGAAGTCTGTAATTTCTGTCAAGCAGAATCTGTAATTTTTAGGTTAGGCAACCTGTTTGGGAGACATCTGTACATGAAGAGAAACTGCGAAATTATATGTACTCTCACCTTTAATTATATGTAAGTATATGAACCTTTACTTTCAACTCTATATAAGTGTATATAATTTTACCTTTAATTATATGTACAATTGTATGTTTCACCTTTGACTACATATAAGTTATGTAGCTGTACCTGCAGCTATACCGTTATACATATGTATGTAAATTGATTCATTACCTGTCTCAACAAAGAACCCTCCATTTTGTATTAAAAATATAAAAGCACCAATACGATAATTCTCCCTAAATTCTAAGCTTTAAATCAATATACAGTACCACTTTGTTCCACTTTTATATGATACGTTCCACTTGAACCAACTTCACTTTCAAAACACTCAGCGAAGTGATATATCGTGTAAAACAAGAAAACTGAACTATGCGAGCAATAACAATATTGAGAATCCAGATGTCCCTTTATTTCCCCCGTTCCACCGTTTGCGAAATCGAAAAAGTATTTCTTAAGTCCGGGTATCGTTCTGTTTTCCACGATAACCCGCAGCGAGCGCGCAACTTCGCGAAACAGTATTATAGTCTCTTCTTCCTATGTTTTGCAACTTTTTGCCGCGTAACGCGCTGCCTGTTTCAAAAGTTTCCGTAAACGTCCCATAGATATCCTGAGGATAGTGACATTTCCATAGGAAACACCATGTTTCCGACATTAGAATGGTAAGGAGGAAGGGAGCACCGCTGGCAATCTTGCGGAGGGTCTGCCAACCTAGACAAGTCAGACAGTCCTAACAGACGGGATACACCGTTCCTGTTACTCAGCCTGGATGCATCTTCCTGAATAATCGTACGTAACAATGGTAAGTCATACGTGACATGCCGTACGCAAACCTGCCAGACACGTTCTGATTACTCGGCTTGAGATAACGTTACTGTTACACTTTGACGATCGGTTTCGTGAAAATAACTTACATGATATTCGCTTGTACTTGAGGGTTTCTCAAACATCTGCAAATTTGTAAATTAGAAAAAATTCTATTTTAGTAATTAATCAGAACTTTTAAATAATTATTATGTTTCGCACTTGGAGATCTGTGACGAATGTATGTGTAAATGAAAACAAGAAAAATGTCATTTAATCACTATCTTCCTCCTCCTATTATTATTAATAATTTCTTCAATTATTCTGATAAATTAATAAACCATTCCACGTTTATTTTTGTCATTTCTACCTTTAACATTTATTATACATTTTCGTGTACCTTTTGTATCTACATTTAATGTATTAAATATTTTAATTAATTGTTCGAAAGAAAGTTGACTAAAATTGTAGATTGAATAAACAGAACGTTCGCTTGCTAGATTATACGTATTTCGCCATGATACGTTTGAAACTCGTGTAATCAACGAAACACTCATGTTGAAAACCAGTTGTTACCACACGCGTGTAATTATTCACTGACACGTCTAGGAAACAGGGAACTGAAGATTAGACGCCGTCTATCAATTCCTTTTGACGTTGTCGGAACCATCATAGACGCGTTTCCGCTTTGCAGATGCGGTGTTCCTTTGCATTAATTACAACCAATCCGCTGTCGTCTATGGCTTAACAAATCCCATTATCCGCCCTTTGCTAGTCTTCCAAATTATACAAAAATTTCTTGCATTTATTTAATTGCATTCAAACTTTTATTTTTTATATATTTTTTTATTTTAAGCGTTTGTATATCTACTTTATTTCCATTAATTCTCTACCTACTTCTCACAATCGCAAACAATTAAAACACAGACCAATAAAGAACAAAGAGAGCAGAAAACAAGAATTGAAAATTACTGTGGAACATCATCCTTTATGTAGACACTTGCCTAGTTGATTAATAAAACTGAATTGTCCGTTGTAACGTATGTTCATTCTACTCGATTATCCGTCTTAATTAGCCGGTGAACGAGAATTAATTCCCTTCACAGTATATCCCGCGGGTCACATTCTTGCGGCTGCTGGTGTAAAACATTTCTGGCTCTTGCAACACAAGATAGTCACAGGGCACCTGTTTGTCCCGAGTTTCAACAGAACACAGATTACATTACACAACATAACCGAGTTGACGTATCTTGCTAATTAGCGTGTCTGCGCGTTTTGTTTTTGTCAAAGAATTCTATTTGTACCGCGCGGCGCGACTGTTTCAAACGATTATACAGTAGACTTTTGTACAATACTATTCTCATGGGCGAGTAACAACAGAATTTTTGTGATATTGGGGATATGGAGAGGTCTTAATGTAAGGCTTATTCAAATTCTGTTAACAATGTGACGGATAATGTACACGGTGGGTTTGGTATTATTTATAACTCTAATATTTCGTCGTTTAGGGAGTGGAAATAGAATGCATGTTGTGTGGAAAATAGAGAATATGGGGACGCGTTGAAGTTGCAATGTGTGGAAATTGTAGAATGTGGAGATATGGCGCGTGGAGATACGGTGCGTGGAGATACAGTAAGTGAATATATGACGCGTGGAGATACGACGCGTGAAGGTACGATGCGTGGAGGTACGGCGCGTGGAGATACGACGCATGGAGATACGGCACGTGGAATTACGGCACGTGGAGTTATGGCGCGTGGAGTTACCCACGCGTGGAGTTACGGTACGTGGAGTTACCCACGCGTGGAATTAGCCACGCGTAGAATTATAGCGCGTGGAGTTACCCACGCGTGGAATTACCCACGCGTAGAATTACGGCGCGTGGAGTTACCCATGCGTAGAATTACGACGCGTGGAGTTATGGCACGTGGAGTTATCCACGCATGGAATTAACCACGCGTAGAATTACGGCGCGTGGAGTTACCCATGCGTAGAATTACGACGCGTGGAGTTATAGCGCGTGGAGTTACCCACGTGTGGAATTACTCACGCGTAGAATTACGGCGCGTGGAGTTACCCATGCGTAGAATTACAGCGCGTGGAGTTACCCACACGTGGAATTTAAAATTTGGAATTACGTGCGCTCTAAAATTTGCTAACTGAAATTAACGTACTCTAGAAATTCTATATACAATTATTAACTAAAAAATCTATAACAATAATTAGTCAGTGACTACTCCTGAATTTCCAAATATAACAAAACTAATCGTACTTCATCAATTAGAAGTTAAAAATCGGCCTTTGTTCGCAGCGATAGAATAATGTGAAAATAGCTTCGTGCTTCGTTCCCTTTCAATGTGCTCGATTCGTCGATTCGCGGCATTGAAAACCGAGCCGATTGACGAGCTCGAAGCCAAGGTAATCGTTCAATCGACGAAATCAGGTGAGGCAAGCTGTTTTCTTTCTGTTTGATTCGTGGCTCAGCATCTCGAATGCTCGCGTGTCTCCGCCACTCACGGCAATGGCATTCCTCGCCGTCGAATCAATTTCGTTGCCGATCGAA